CTTGACATGCATTCTCTTATTTCAGACTTTTCAAAATAGTTCTATCATTGCCATTTGCAAGTGAAAAAAACAGAAGGTCAAAATTTTTAAGAAAATTACCCAGGGGCGCCTGGGTGGCTCAGTCGGTTAAGCGTCTGTCTGACTTTGGCTCAGGTCATGATCTCGGGTCCTGGGATCGAGTCCCATGTGGGGCTCCTGGCTCAGCAGGGAATCTGCTTGTTCCTTCCCCTCTTTGGCTGCCCCTCCCCCCACTTGTGCTCTCTGTCTCTTTCTCAAATAAATAAAATCTTAAAAAAAAAAATGCCCAAGTCACCTAAATAACAGAATGAAGACTCATACATATGATCAAGACTACCCTTTTACTATGATAAGCAGCCTCCAAACATAACAAAGAAGCTTCACTATTTTTTCCTAATGCTCTCCCTAAGAATTTCATAATACATCCTCAGATTTTTTTCATTCTCCTTGAGCATTTTAGTAAATATGATAGTGGAATGCATTCCACAGAGTCATTGCTGCTTTGTAGTTGCTATAGTTTATTTTTTGCACTTGATACCCATATTAAATGTCACTCTCAAAATATTTATACTGAGAATAATTTTTAAAGAGTTTTTAGATGTGCCATACTGTAAGAGAAATTAGCTTCAGAAACAACGTCACCACAAACAGAATGTTTGAATTCTGAAAAGAATTCCCACTACCACTGGATTCCATATGTGCACAGCAAAAGCAACACAACCTGACTCTGCTTGGTGAGTTCTTAAATATGTTCAAGAGTCAAGAACAGAGTAACTGTCCCCAAAAAGGAAATTTCTGTGCAAGAAGAGAAGGGAAATCACATCACCTTTCTTAAGGTAAAGGCTAAAAGGGTGGCAGTACGAACCCCAATAATCTAAAGGCTGAGAAATATTAGAGGTCCCAGGTAGAAGGAATATAAGCAGAAAATCTTCCCCATCTTACCTGACCTGAGGCAAGGGAAAAAGGGGAGCTACTCCCCTCTAGGAAAGAGGCCTACCTCCAGCACTCTAGGAGAGCCCCAGGACCCACAACAGGATTCAGGCTGCAATCAAAGATGGAAGATGTTCAGGCCTCACCTGGTGGGGGAACACTCAGTAATGCTGTCAGGGACCACATGGATACTTTCAATGCTCCTGGAACCCTGTTTTGGACAGAAGGAACGTGGAAATAGGGTCTCAGAAGTAGACTGAGCCAAGCTCAAGACAGAGAACACAAAGGTTTTGGTTATTGAGATGCACATTCTTTAAATTATACCCAGTAGGTAAGTCCTGCGAAATACCTGGTATGCTTTTTCTCTCATCATTAGGAAAGCAATTATAAACAAGAGTTCTCAATTGCTCTATCTCTTACATGTTTTCCTACAAAAATAACTTTCTACATTAATTTCTAGTAAAGAAGCATTGAGGCTTCTCTACTGTATATGTACTTCAGAAATCCACAGCCTTTGTACGCTATGACCTCTTGAACTCATTGAAGCTCTGCAGGAGACTTTATTTCCAAATGTTTACACCTCACTTTTTTTTTTAATAGTTTAATATTCAGGAGATTACTCTTCAGAAATTGGCATTTTGTTAATTGGAAAAAGGTTTTCATCGCTGTTATATTTCAGAAAGAATGTCAAAGGGAGGGGCGCCTGGGTGGCTCAGTCGTTAAGCGTCTGCCTTCAGCTCAGGTCATGGTCCCAGGGTCCTGGGATCGAGCCCCGCATTGGGCTCCCCGCTCTGCGGGAGGCCTGCTTCTCCCTCTCCCACTCCCCCTGCTTGTGTTCCCTTTCTCGCTGTGTCTCTGTCAAATAAATAAATAAAATCTTAAAAAAAAAAAAAAAAAGAATGTCAAAGGGAAGAACTACTTTCCTCTAAGATTTGGTTCTCAGATATGCAAGTGCCACCCTTGAGGTTATGGTGAGCTGGCTGTGAGCACAGTCTAGAAGAGCAGGCTCTATAAACTGAGTCAAATAGAATAAGGCATCACCCATAAACAAAGCCAAGAGGGACAGTCATTGTCAAGAGTGTTGTATCTGAAAGATAGTTTCGGTATAATAGTTAACATTTTTGAGTAGCCATTATATGCTGGTGCTATGCTAAGCTCTATTTTTCATGTTAAAGTTTACAGTATGAACGGTATCAAAATTATAGAATACCAAAGAGATGCTAATGTACATAGAAATTTAAGATGTTAACATTGTCATTTTTGCTTAAAACCCATCTGTTAAAGAAAAAAACACTGCAGGTTTAGCTAAAGCCCATTCCTCATCCCACCTTCCTTTCCTCACACTAAACTTCCCTATTTCTTGTGTATCACTCCAATCACGTATTTTTTTTAATACACCTGTATTTATGCAATTTGCCCTTTTCACCCAACAAATATTGTGATATTTACCTATGTTGTTACATGTGGATCTTGCTGATTCACATTGGCTTCTACATTGAACTTCATTATAAGAATAAACCTCACGTTGATCCACTCCAGGCAGACTGGTTCTATTTTTTTAACATTCAAGGAGTGCAGTAAGGCCCAATCTCGAGCAAATCTCCTATGTACATGTGCAAGTTTCTCTAGGTCCTCTCCTTGAAGTGGAATTTCTGAGTCATAAGGTATGCACCCACCAACTTTACTAGGCATTGCCAAAATTATTTCCAGTGATTATGTCAATTTATACCTCTATCAGAAAGGTATCAGTCCTTTTGCCCCCCCTTTTTTTTCCCTTGGTGTTTTTCTTTCTTACTGGTTCCTAAGCATTCTTTTGGAAGTTATTTCAATGCAAATAAATTCTTCCAATCTATGGTTTGATATTTCACAGTTAAGTATCCTATCATAAAAAAATAATAATGTGGAAAATTCTATCAACATTTTCCTTTAGGATTGTGTTTTATGTCTTAAAAAGTTCTCTACCCCAGTGTGATACATTTCTTCATTTTCTTCTAAGTATTTAAAAATTTCCTCTTCAGATTTATATCTTCAAACCATCTAGAATGTATTTTTGTGTATGCTGGGTTAGTGAATCTCATTTTATCTTTTTGCAAAGAGATCGCCATCAAAAACAAAAAAAGTCCATCCTTTCATCAGTGACTTTCAAAGCTACATCTGTCGTATGTTTTCATATGCAAGTGGGCCTGTTTCTAGGCTCACTATTTTGGTTCTGTTGGTCTGTCTATCCTTGTCTGTTGATATCACACAGCTTAAATTACTCTAACTTTGTAACAAGTTTTGATATCTGGTAGGGTGAGTCTTTTCTAATTATTTTTTCAGAATTGCTTTGGCTCTTCTTGCTCTTTATTCCACCATAGAAGCTTTAGGATTATTAGCTAAATCCCCCATTAGTGTCTTTTTCTTACCTGTTTCTTAATCATTTGTTTGTAGTGAATTGAAGCTACTTTTTTTTCGTTTTGTGGCCGGTTGGCCAAATCTTTTATTCAGTATCCATATTCAGTATCCCATCGTTGATCACACAAATAAACGGGTATTATTGAGAAAGAGAAGAGAGCTGTGTGGAAAAAGTCATGTTGTAACTTCATTTGAAGTTGTATTGATTTTCCGAATTAATTTGGTGAGATTGAGAATAGTTAAAATAAAAAGTGTTCCCAACCATGACATGATACAAACCTCCCATTTTAGTCTTCTTTTAGGTCCTTTAATAAATATTAACAATTTTTCCATAAAGCTATTACACATTTTTGCAAGATTGATTCCTGGATCTTTTTTTTTTTTTTTTTAAAGCTATTTCCTGCATTTGATCTTCTGGGCCACTAATGCAGCCTCTCCTGTAATTCACCTACTTTATTATCAAAAAACCGTATTTTTAGAGTTGTGTATGTGAGTGTGGTACATTCAGATCTCTTTAAGTACTTTGTTGTTGTTGTTCAGGTGCTCGTCTGTTTCCTCCAGCAATTATTACGCAGAACAGGAATCCTACTATTTTAACCTGATCCTTTTTCTCTGGCGGCTACTAGAGCTCCTGGACTGTGCAATTACCTTCCTCTCAAATAAACCGGGAAATTCCACAGGCGCTGACTGGAAAATGTGCTTCTTGCCCTGAGCTTGGAGTGGAAAGAGGAGACTGTTACATCCCTCCTGAGGCACTCTGGAGGAAGCCTCTCTGATCTTTGTCTGCTCAAGCCCTTCTCCCCCACGTTAACAGTACAGAACACTCAACCCATCCCCTTCCCTTTTGTGAACAGGTAGACCCAGGTCCCTCATACCAGGATGAAAATCCTCAGATGTTGAAATGTCAAACTCTCTCAGGAATTCTCTGAGCTTCTGAGCTCTGATGCTGCTCACTTTTGATTCCTCCACCCCTGGGGGCAGAAACCTAATTCTCTCCACCAGAGCCAGCAGCTGGCTCTAGAGCCAAGGGCAAGTAGCTCGGAGTTAGAAATGGAAGCCATATGATCCCCAAATCCACTATTGGTGTATTTTCTACTTATTTCTTAGTAAATTGTTGGTAGTGAAAATAAATGCTATTAATTGATGTTTGTCTGGAATTTTTGCAGCTGTGTGGTTGGTTGGCCAAATCTTTAATTTGGTATTCCATTCTTGTTCAACACACATTAACAGTATTTTTGAGAGAAAGGGGACAGGAGGTCCTGCAGATTCCCAAAGAAAAGGCAAAAAAACAAAATACGGCCAGCATTGTCCACTTGCTTTTTTTTTTACTTACAGAGTGAAAAGAACTTCCTTTAAATAAGCATCTAAGTGATTTTTGTTGTTGCTGCTGGTCATTTTTAAAAAAATACTGGGAACACTGAGCCTGGGTTTGAAAGATGCCCTGAAATCTTAAGAGTAGTATACACCAATTCCCTCCCACTCTTCCCCCAAAAATCTAGTTGGTTTGAATTAACAGAATGATCCGTTTTTCCATTTTTGGTGGGCAGATGTTTGTAAAAGATCTTAGAACTGTTTGTCTCATTTATCATGAAAATTTAGAAGCGAGGAAGCCTTTAGAAGAATTTTTACTTGAAAATATAAGAAGACTAGTACGCAGGTTCAAGTCTTATACTTTTAACATGAGCTTGTTCAAAGAAACGTTAACAATTCCAAAACGCAATTAAACGAGTTAAAAAGTTAAAACTTTTTCCTCCCCAAAGCACAAAAATTATGGAGAGGAAGTTAACAAAAAATTCTTAAAAAGGTGAAAACAACTCTTCCTTGTACTAGTCCTTGGGTAGTTTACCAGAGCACAGACTCTTCTTTCCGTTAGTTTCTTTGAAAACGGAATTTTGGTCCCAAGTCTGTCGGTACTTAGTATCTGCTGCGGCCTCCCCCTCTCTCCGAACGGCTTCCCAGGCGGCCTCCGCCCCTGGGGACCCTGCGGCCAGAGCGGCTGTAAGAATCGCGTGGGGGAGGGCACCCCCTCTCCAAGGACGGGGAGAGCCCGCGGTCGGCTCTGCCTACCCGGTCGCGGCCCCTCGAGTAGCGGTCGCTGCGGCCGCCGCCGTAACTGTCGCGGCCGCCGCCGTACACGTCAGGCGAGCAGCCGCGGTAGTCGTCGTAGCGGCCTCCTCCGCCGTAAGAAGGCGGGGGCCCCCGCGCTGCGGCGGCGCTGCGCGGGTCCCCGTAGCTCTCGAAGGGGTCTCGATAGGAGCCTCCACTCGGATGGTCCGCGTAGTCGCGGTCGCGCCCCCCGTAGCCGTCTCGGTCGCCGTAGCCTCTCGACGGGCAGTCGTCGCGGGCACTGGAGTGGCCGTAATCGCGGTAGGTGTACTCTCGGGGCGAGGGCACAAACTCGCGGGGGTCGCGGGCGCTCGGGTAGTCTCGGCTCCAGTAGCCGTCTCTGGGCGAGTAGCCCTCCTCCCGGGGGCCCAGGTAGGGGTCGCGGCGCGAGGGTGGCGGTTCCCGGCGCGGCGGGCCCGCATAGCCGTCTC